CCAATTACGCGCGCAGCTAAAGGTATCCGACGGCCACCCGGCAACGGCCGCGTCAGGAAATATACCCGCACTGCTACGTCTCTCTTTCCAACACACACGGGCTTACGGGAATATCCGCGACTTCCGACCGCGGTTACTCGCGAACGGACGGGCGGATCGCGAAAAGAAAGCTTATTGCACCCCTCGGGGACAGTACCCGTCGAACGGCTAAGTTCGCACCGATTCCGACCGGTGGGAGCGGGGAGGCGAGCGTGATGGATCAGTGTATGATGAATGTATTTCCCTTTTATTAGTTAGAAGATTTATTAGTTAGAAAACAAAAAAATTAAACTTGTGGCGCACCTAACGTATTCTTATCAATCGCAAACTGATATTGTGTTAAATAAACGAATGCAAAAATTCTAATAAAGATCGTAGCTTTAGGTGAGATTTTATGAAAATTCCAATTAATTTATGGGCTATTCGAGCGAAAATGTGCATTCGCATCGAATATTTCCTGAAGTAATTGAATAAATATGTTCACTTTCTCTTGAGTTAGTTATCAAATAATTTTTAGCTAACTAAGATGAAACTATATTTGCAGGAAATTCTGCCTGAGCTTGCGCGGCAAAAAAAAACCCAAAATCCAGTCCAATCCATAACTTCAGTCGTCAATCCACGGGAGGAAAAAAAATACTTGTGAAATTTGCACGTGGTTATACCAGGAAAATCTATAGTCACAAATTAATGCTTAACACACACATCACAAATTAATTTAATTAAAGGGTTGAATCAATTAATTTATGTAAGAAAACTAAAACCTCCTCACCATGGGAGTTTTCACGTTTATTACTGTTCGCATAATGAGTATCCAAGAACATGGTAACATGGTATACCCTTTGTGATCGCTACGAAAGTTTCCCATGCATCAAAGAAGAAAGAAAAAAAGAGATGTTGCATCTGATCGCTCTACCTCTAAATGTTGCTTTTGAAATATCGATTCATACCAATTCGAGCGATTGTGACAATATTTTAGTGAGCATACTTGTACATTATTATTATATTTAAAAAGTCGAATATGCTAATGTATTTTCGGTAAATATTCAATAGGAGTACCATTAGTTGAGATCCTGGAGTTGGGTAGCATTTGCAAATCTATTCGAATTGCCAAAGGATCTCACAAGAGATCGAGTTGCCATCAACCAACCTGTTTTTACGTATTAAATATCGACGATGAAACTACCATCTCGTTTGCGGTTTTTAGCAATCTCTGCTCCCATTTTATTTTTTTCACGGCGAACAAATCAACTTCATTCCTTGAAGTTTTCACAGACTTTTCTTCGCAAAGAGAAGATTAATTGTTGAAGTTTTCAAAAATTGACGTTGAGTGGTTCTCCGTGTAAAAAATGAAGTATGACAGGAAGTCTACAGCGCCGCAAACCGAGATGCGTTGTCTGGTAGTTTTTACTGTCGATATGTTTTAGTCATTCAATAAATATGGAAGCCAAAAAGCTACCTAAAAAAATTTGGATAATTTCGACACTAATAATCCGAATTGGTGTTTTTGCATGCATCAACTCATTGGAGTCGTATGTACCTACACCTACTTCTTGCTGCAGCACCAATTAGTTGTATCATAACTCCATTAAGTTTGCTGCTGCATAGAACAAATAGATTGGTGCAGAGGACCAGTTGGATTAGCTGCGTTGACATTATCCAAGCTTTTTTTCAAGGTGTTAAGGAAACTTTTGTTTTCCAAAAAATGTTATCAGCTAAGAAAAGGGAGAGAAATAGTCTGTTTTCAGCACCGTTCTAAACAATCAAACAAAAAATAACAATTCCTTTTTTACACAATACGCTTGTCATAAACTAAGAAGGGAGAAAATACATAAAACAAATAAAACGGATGAAAATCATACTTGACACAACAAGATCATTATCTAGACGAAATTGATGATAATTACTTACTCGTAATAGTTTATAACAAACGAATTAACTTTAAAATATAAGTAATCTGCCGATAATTGAATAATGTTACATATATATTACAAAATGACAGCAGGAACGGTATATTAACGGTGAAACCATAAACACTCAGCGTAAGGTTTTAACAACAAATTTTGTCAACAATGTATGAGTCAGGAATTCAGGATAGTGCCCTGAAATTAGAGTCATGTAACAAATCCTAAAACATAGAAAACCAATAATAAAATTTAAAGTTAGAAAAAACTAACAGGTTCATTGACGAAGTTAAAGATATACACAGGGAATATTGAGGCACAGGCAGATTATTCTGGGGAAGTTGTTCAAGACTCAATGTTGCCTAAATAAATAAAGTCTGGGTCCAGTAATTCGTCCTGTTGCATCAAATCAATAGCTATAAGACTCTTCAAAACATGAAGTTTTCCTATCATATTTTAATCTTGATTTTTTAACATTGTTCATTAAATGCTTCCAGAGTTTTGTCGGATTTTTTTAAAACCTTGAGGTTCTTTCATAAGAGAGGTGGTCATGATGACAGTTTTTCCTTTGGATGGCGCTCAACGACCTTGAACCCATTTAATTTTAATCGAAAATGCAGATCTGTTTTTTGAATTTTTCATGATGAGCTCATCTGATCCATGTTGTAGGTTATTCATATCAGTGGCGTGGCGTGCTTTGCGATATATCGATTGTTATGCCATTTAAACCTATGGAAAAGGGTCGATGAACAGGGTGTTCGCAGCGAACACCTTAATAATCGATTCTATATCATAAGTTTAAACGGCATAACAATCGATACATCGCAATTCACGCTACGTCACTGATTCATATTTACAACCCCCTCGGACATCCCATGTGCTTCCTTAAAAATTTAACATCTGCATGTCTCAAATTTAAAGTGTTTGAGCGCACTTGGTAAGTATTTTGCCTTATCACACCCATCACAGCAAAGGTGAAGAGGTTTCGTTATTTGATCTTTAAGCTACAAAAAAAGTCGCATAAAAATAGAGAGATCTATGAAATGCCGTGAACAAGACATCCCGCAAAAAAAAATTTTAATTTGAACGGGGAGATACATTGGATTCCAAAATCACGCGAGGAGCGGCTCTGAGAAGTTCTAAGAATCAGTTCAGAAACCTACGACAACCTGATGAAAAGAACAAAAACAAAAAAAATAATAATCCCAAAGAATGGTGTACGCAAAATGTGGAGATAACTCGTAATCTTAGTTAAATTCTTCAGATAGTACAATCTAAAATTAAAAAATGTAATTCGGATCTGACGTTGACGTCATTGATGCAGCTACGATAATCGATTCTATACCATAGGTTTAAACGGCATAACAATCGATACATCGCAATTCACGCCATGCCACGCCACACAAACCTGACGAGTCAATTTTGAGGATAAACCGGACAATCAGATGTTACATGTAACTCGGTTAATGCGTCAAGTGAAATACAATGGAGTTATTCATGGTTTAATTGTAACATACATTCACACCATTACAAAATATATTGCATGAGGATATGTTTCAGTGATCTGAGATAATTGATAAATAATACACGGAGGGTGCTTCTGATTGCTGCAATTTTCGTTGAGTGTAATGATGAAGTCCGAAATTTCACCTCCATTCAAAAAATTTGAAATTTGAAAGGCTTAAAAAATGAAATTTGGTAGGTATTTGACATTTTGGGCTCGAGGACTTTTGGAGAGAGCTTCTACTCAATTTCACACCTCATTGCATAATGTCATTAACAGTAAATAAAAATGTATTGCTTGCGTTGTGCCAAAGCAGCAGTTTTTCTTGTAACTAATTTTTTTCAGCATTATAATTTTAAACAGCTGTGATTAACTTATTGAGTTCGTAATTCCTTACGCAAACAATCATCTATATTTTGTCTTTGTTCGAACTTCCGTTACGATTTTTCTCCCATTCATTGAAAGAGAGATAAAAATCAACAGAAATCATTTATATTGACTTCGCAATCATTGAAAGAGAGATAGAATCAACATAACTCATTTATGTCTACTTTTTCTATCGTCTCATTATTTCCCTCTGCTTATTTTAAAATGATGGATATTGCTCATCCGCTCTTTCTCCAACAATATATTTTTTTTCAGGATTGATCAACTCACAACGGTACATTAGAAATGATGACGCAAACAAGTGCGTATGTTTGGGATAATGTTGAGAAGGACAACTCAACACAAAATTTAAAGCCCAAGTTCTAATCTTATACCTATTCCTTCTGAAAAGTACAAAAACATATTTTTGTACCTCACCATACGCACTATGAGTACTCCTTTTTCAACTGTATACACATCACCTAAAAGAATGCTGCTCTTATCAGCTTAAACATTTTTAAGATAATTTTAACCAAAAAATATACCTGACGCTTATAATCTAATTTGAATTCTTCAGAGAAATATCATGGTTTAATTGACATTTTGAACAAGCGAAGAAAAACGTGTGTTTTGTAGACATATTAGGTTTAGTTCGAATCTAAATTTACAAATTCATCGTTTGCAAAGTTTTCTTAAAAATCCATGTGAGATCGAGGCCACGCATCGCAAGAAGGAGATATTCTCTGCGATCCAAATATCTGATCCAAATATGTTTCCACAGTTGCAAATTTTTATATTTTAAATAATAATGCACACATTTTTAAATAAGAGCTCACAGTGTTCTCCAGCACATGATCTTGATCATGGGCCCGGATGTGTGAGACAGCAATAGTAACAAAAAAGAGGCTTCAATTTTGTCAGCTTCCAGAACAGTTTAAAAGTAACGTTTGCTGAAGGTATTAAGTGTAGTAAGTGTTTTCAATTTTATCTCATTCGATCCACGACTTAAAAAATGATGACGAGTTTGCTTTCATTTATCATACAAATATATGAGCTTCACTCGCCCTTACGTTACATTTTGGACTCCATCTTTTGGATCTTTGTTCGACACCAAAACAATAAATGAGATAAAAAAAAATCAAAAATCCCATATTATGGTCGAACCGTATGGCAATAAGTATGCCTAAATGCCACATTGTGCATCCAATTGATTTTATTTTTAGCCAAAATAATATTACGGAAATTTGAATTTAGTTTTGCAGATATTTTTTTGTCATTAATTTTTCTCCTCATTATTATTCTAAAAGTAATCACCCGCGGTTGTCCTGCTTACTGGAGGAAGGGGTTCGTGGGGTTGGCGGGCTTGAAAGGGTTCGTGGAGACTGGTTCTTGGTAGTACGGTGTCGAGAGGTTCCGCTGTTCGTTCATGTATTCGTCCTGGGCCGGCGGCTGAACCGGTTGTGGCACCACCGGATTTATGTAATCGGGATGCGGTTGTGATTGATCCACAGATCCGTAGCTTACAACAGGTGGTCGCCCATTCTGCAAGGAATTGATCAACATAATTTTCAACAGTGATTTCACGACGACAGGAATAGTAGTGTCACCTAGTGGGTTTCATTTCCTATTACAAATCGCGCATCATAAACCGTCACCTTCCGGTCATAGTATCACAAGCACCATGCGACGTTTAAAATTTCCGCCGTCTTTTTATTTTTTTACAGAGAAATTGTTCAACGAAGCTGTCCGAAAATTGTACTGAAATTTCTATGCGCTACCGATAAAATTCAGTGAATTTTTCAAACATATTCAACCAACAATGTCTACATAAAAAAATAAAATGGCGGCGGAAATTTTGAAAAGTCGCATGGTGCTTGTGATATTTTGGCCGAAAAGTGACGCTATTTTGATCAGTGATCTCAAGCATTAGGTTAGGTTGGGTCAATAAGTGCTCAATTCATGCGGTTCAACTTTTCTTTCAACTTTTCTTCCGCTTTTGTGGAATGAAAAGTTGGATCGTTCGATACTGACACGAGAACCCAACAAGCGGATGAAAACTTGAACGGCAGCTTAAATGTGACGTCATCTTCAAATTTTCATCCAATTGGCGCTTATTGGATAGAAAGTTAGACATACATTTGGAATTACTCCTGAAATTATCTATATTTTAGTCTCTTGAAAAATGTTACTCGACATGCAATTTCACCCACGTCTTCAGTTAAAGTATCGTGAGTGTGAAGAAGTTATTTCCTGAATTAGAATTCAGGATTAGATTAAAGGTAAATGGATACCTCATGATGGAGGAATGTGTCTCTTTTTTTATCGTATACTTAAATTTTTAAAATTTCATCTTGAAAAAGAACTAATGACCCAACTCACAGGCTGGGTGGAGCTTTGAACATTCTCCATGGGGTTCCAGGTCTTTTCATCATCAGTCTCAGCCCAGGGTTGCAGTTCTCCTGAGGCGAACACGGCGTAGAAAATAACGCCGCAGAAATGAACAAACGCTGCCATCAGGAAAGCTACCCTCCACGCCTCTACTTTCTGTAAAATACAAGAGGTTGAGACAAAAACATCTTTGAATTGGCAAACTTTCGCCTTTATTGTTAGTTTAAAAGCGATAAAATGCATGATTTTAGACGGTAATAAATTATAATTATTCTCATACTTATTTGTCTTAAATGACATTTAAATGGCTTCGATCGAGAAATACGTATTTCCGATAGCAACGCAGCTCGCAGCAAAACCATGAAATTGATAAAAATTATTTTGAAAACAAAATTATGGTCATAGTATGCAACCTCGTAAACAGGGACACATGCGTTTCTCTGGCTTTGCTATCGAAATGTATTCCTGCACTAGGAGCTAAGTGCCTAGTTTCGTGGACTTCCTGTCTTCTACTTCTCATTTCATGAACGCAGATTGACATGGGAATGATATTATATTTTTTACAACAAAGTTTCATACTGCACATGAATTGGGCTGCATTTTGCAATTTGGAACTATAAATTCTAGCCCGGTTTAAAAACAACGTATGTTCCATTAGTTTCCCTATGCACATGAGTGTTTTTCCAGAAGAGCCAGAATTTATAGTTCCAAATTGCGAAATGCAGTCCAATTTAGAATATGTTTGAAGCAAATCAGAAGTTGCACGATTTTCATTTTTGTTGCAGTCTAGTTGCGTTGGTCCCAATCTAATAAACGCAGTCTTGTCGTTAGGACAGTAAGAACAATTATGATAGTTGCTGCTCACCTCTTGATGCGTTTTCTTATCGGCTGTGATGTGATCGACCACAATAGGGTTAGCCATACCAGCTATCGTGCCGATGCCATTTGACATTCCCATCAGGATACTAGCATACCGTGGAGCGATATCTAAATGATTTACGTTGAAACCTGGAAAAAAGATTGCACTATATTATGTTATGCACCTAAAGGATTAAAGCACTAAAAGGGTGCAAATATAAGGCGCCAAAAGGAAAAACACTATAGGTAGCCACATGGTGTTAAAGGTTCGCAAATTACAAGAAGTCAAATATTTTTGAAGCCGATTATTGTACTCTGCTTTCATCTCTCTGAATTCTGCCAAAAGCGATTTGAGAATGATTCTCCAGGCTCATGCGCAAGGGATATCGTCCTTTTTTTTCTCCCCCCCCCCATTTTTCTTCGTGTTCTTTTTTTCATTTTTTTCTTTTTTTCTTTTTTTTCTTTTTCTTCTTTTTTTCTTTCTTTCCATTTTTCTTTTCCTTTCTTTTCTTCTTCTTTTTTTCCCTTTTTTTCTCTTTTTCCTATTTTTTGGGGGGCTAAAAATTCAAAATATGCCAATTGGTCGATCGAGAATGATTCTTCAGGCTCATCCGCAGGGGCTATGGTCCTTTTTTTCTTCTTTCTTCTTTTTTTTCTTTTTTCCCTTTTATCCTCTTTTTCTTTTCTTTTTTTCTTTTTTTATTTTTGATTTTTTGATTTTTTCTTTTTGCTCTTTTTTCTTTTTTTCTTCTTTTACTTTTTTCTTCTTTTTTGCTCTTTCTATCTTTATATTTTTGGCTAAAAATTCAAAATATGCAAAGTTTTGGGCTTAACCGATGCGAGTTGGACCACGCAAGAATTTAGGACGAATCACCTGGAGGGTGATAGGGCTTGTGTACTACTGTATGCACTTGTGTATTACTTACCGGAGATTGCGAAGGCGGATGCGGCGACTCCGATGCAAAGGGCGACGGTGGCCGTGAAGGCGGAGTTGGAGTAGGCGACGACGATGAAGAAGAAGGCCTCCACGCCGAAGCCGCCGCAGTTGAAGAGTTTCCGCACGTTCGTCGTAGAGAGGATCCCTTCCTTCCGAATGTGATCGGCCAAGAGACCCCCGAACGGCACGATCACTGTCATCAACAAGTGCGGCAACGCACCCACGAAACCCGTCTATCATATTAAAAAAAAGTTAGTTAGTTAGTTAGTTAGTTAGTATATTTTAAGATATTCAGCGTCACAGGCTATTAACGTCTTTTGAAAGTGGGAGTATATACGAAAATTTAGATTTTTAAATTAAGAGAGGTGAAGAGTTTCAGAATTTCGGTAGTAACATTGGGTTCATCGCATGTAAGTGGGTTTGTATTTATGTTGATTGTAGGGGAGTAGATCTGTGATTGGAGATATCTGAGGGCAGAGCAGTCCATAATTACGTGTTTGATGGTTAGAGGTGATAAATTACAGAAGTTACAGATGGGTTGATTTTCTTTGGAGATGATATGATTGTGACTGAAAAAAGTGTGACCTATCCTAAGACGCGCAATTTGGACTTCACATGATCTTGTTTTGTGGTTAGATGTTCTTGGATATGGCATGGGGGCTCTACGGAGACGATTCTAAGGTATTAAAATAGTTTTACTCTTTATGTATGTCGCAGGCGATTGGACGTCCAGAACCAAAAGCGACAATCTCCATTGCCCTATTTGAAAATTGTGCAATCATTATAATTTTAATTGAAAGAACGAGAAAGCCTCCATGTTTTATTTTTTAGTAAATTATCTTTATCGAGCAAGAAAATTTGCAAAATTTAAAATTAGCTAGACGTTTTGGCTATTCCTCATAAAAAATTAACAGGATTGCACAATTTTTGGACAGGATATAAAGGATTACCGCTTTTGATTCAAAACGTCTCAATTAGTTAAATCAGGAGTTATGTTAAGTGCCTAGGCAAAGAGTCAAATATTCTTACTTGAAGTGAAATCAGAGACAAAAGACCTTCCACTAGTATCTTGGCAATGGTGGCAGCTTTTACTTTCGGGACTTCAGCATTCTACTGTTGACTTATCTACATGGTTGATGTTCAACAACGTGTTGGCAGTTTCGTTACGTACGAAAAGTAAAAGCTTTCATCGGTCGCCAAGAGGCCAGCGGAGGGTCTCTTGTCTCTGAGTGAAATTCTGATTATCTTCCAAATTTTAGGAAAACGTAAACGATTTTTTTTTTTAGGAAAACGAAAAAATTAGTAAAGAGGTTACCTCTGCGGTCTCGAGGTCGTAGACGGAGTGGAGGTAGGTGGGTTGGGAGAGGACAAGGAAGTAGAAGTTCCAGGAGCGGCAGAAGTTGGCGACCATGATGGCGTAGACGGGCATGGAATGGAAGAAGGCGTTCCACGGGGTCGTCGATATCGTCGGCAAGGGCTGCTCCGTCGAGGACCCCAGGGATTTCTCGATGTAGAGCAACTCCCGCGGCGAGATCGTCGGATGGAACCGCGGTTTCTCGAACGTCAGCCACAGCCAGCAACAGTACCAGATCAGACCGCAAACCCCTGAAAAATTAATCGAGTTCTTGTAAAGCTCCGATCTATGACACCGGAGTAGCGCTGGTTGCAGTAAATTCCGATCACCAGATAAAATGGAGATGTTGCATGTGTGAGGAATTTGCGATTTGACTGTTAATTCATACGTAAAAGTTCGCGAGAAACACGACGGTGCCACTGGTTTTCTCTAAAATCAATTCCCAAGCTCAAAAAAAGCTCTCAAGTTGAGGCCAAAATGAAGGGAATATCCCACGCCATTCTGAGAGTCCACCTCTACATCAAAACAAACTCTCCATGCTAAGATAGGGTGGTCTCTCAGGATAGCGTGGGATATCCCCTCCATTTTGGCCTCAACTTTAGAGCTTTTTTTGAGCTTGGGAGTTGATTTCAGAGAAAACCAGTGGCACCATCGTGTTTCTCGCGAAATTTTACAGAAGAATCAACAGTCAAATCGCAAATTTCTCACACATGCAACATCTCCATTATCGTTTCTGTATCAAGAGTATCGGAGTGTCGTGTATGTTGCCTATCGACTAATTGAAGGGACTTCTCTCCTTAAAATTAATTGCAGTATAGTTGGAACGAATTGCAAGTTTTCTTTGCATTTCACATTGTCTATCATTCTGACACATGGGACTTGTTTTATTGGTCGTTTAAAATCGGCACGTACTAAGCAAATGATACAAAAGTATGACAATTCCCTAGAAAAAGATCCAAATTGCATTACATTAAATCGCAATGTATTGCTCTAAATTGCAATGTATCGCAATAAAGTAAAGCAAGTGAAGTAACAATAAGAAATTGAATAGAAAGTCATGATGTTGATTTTTGTCCCTCTTAAAAAAAGGTATGAACTTAAAATCTTTGAAACTGTGCGACTAATATCATGATTTTAAAGATTAGCTATCGCATTCCACGTTTTTCAGAGGAAAGTCGAGGCGTGAAATTTAGCACCGGTATATAATGCCAAAAAACACCGAGTGGTATAAATGCGAAGTGAAATTAGCACCATAGAAGCGTGTAACACTCCGCGAAAAGAGTATATTCTGTTCCGTAATAGTGTAAGTCATTCAGTAAGAAGCATGGATTCCGCTCCGCATTATTGATCCAAGTTTTTTGGGCGCTGTCAGTGGCGTGGCGTACTTTGCGATAAATCGATTGATCTGGCTTGAATTTTTTATGATGTGCTCATCTGATCCATGTTGTGGGTTATTCATATCAGTGGCGTGGCGTGCTTTGCGATATACCAATTGTTGTGTCATTTAAACCAATGGAGAAGGATCAATTAACACGGTGTTCGCAACGAACGCCTAATAATCGATTCTTTACTATAGCTTTAAATGGGAAAATATCGATAATAATCGATCATTCACGCCTCGCCGCACTGGGCGCTATGTAGACTCCGGCACAGAATTTCATTCCAAAATTTTTAACACTGTCCTGATCTCCCCCTCTTTTTCCTACCTCTCTCTCTCTTCCTCTCCAACCATCTTACTATCTAGAAGGGAGGAAGGCATGTGTTGGTAGTCCCTGTTCCGCAAGTCCATCATTATGTAGTCAGCGAACACGGGGAAAAAAAAAACACATTGGATGTAGAATCAGGACTCTTAAAAACATCGACAAGGAAAAATACTCTTGATTCAATCGGATTTTTGCTTAAATCAAGAACCAAGCCTCTTAATTTGAGCGGATTTCCATTTGATTTAAGCAAAAATCTGATTGAATCAAGAGTATTTTTTCTTGTCAAATTTTTCAAGAGTCTGGACTCTGGATCCAATGTGTTTTTTTTCCAGTGAATAGAGCGGATATCATCAATTTTCAGTCTAAGATTTGATCCAGCAAGGATATCTGGAGATTTGATTATTAGGCTGTGCTTACCGTAGAAGTAAAATGGAGCTTGCCAACTAATTGCCGAGACAAGTGTACCGGAAAGCGGGTAGCTGATGACAACTCCGGCGTATGAGCCACAGAATGCCAACGTCGCCAGTCGTGATCTCTCCAGCGGAGGGGCCCAGTGACGTAGAATTCCGTGAGTGGCTGGATATGTAACACCCTGTGGCATAAAATCACGGTGGAGAGTTTCAATATATGAATAGAGAGCCAAACATGAGACCCCTTCTCTGCCGTGATACATTGAAAAAAAATTCTCGGCGTTTTTACCAAGGTCCGTTGGTACTTTTACCATCTCACTTTTTTTACCAATTATTGGTAATTTTACCAAGACAGACTGGTAAGTTTACCTAAAAACCGGTATTTTTACTGTTTTTTTCAGGTAAGAATACCACTTTTATTGGTAATCAATTCCCGGTATCTTTGCCATTCTATCTCAGTAATTCTACCACAGTCGATAAAAAATATTGGCGTTTTTACCAAGGTCCAGTAAAATTACCGAGAAAGTTCAATTATTTTACCGAGATTTCTCGGTAAAATTACCAATACCATAAATGGTAATTTTAACAAGAAAAAACTAGGATCAAATAGCACCCTGAATTCTTGGTAATTTTACCCTTTTCTTAATAAATACACCGATATTTTTTTTTTCAGTGTATGGAAAAACGCCGTATGAACCTTCAGGCGTTGCCGAATTTCCTTCGATAAAAGACTAATCTCCTGGTAAATTTATGAATATTTTTCTTCCGATTTCTCAGATAATTTTGTTCGCAATTTTACCTTAAGTTTCTAAAATTCTCAAGAAAAATTTTCATAAATTTCCTAAAAAATGAACATTTTAGTGAAGGAAATTTGGCAACTCTGGAGTGTTCATACGGCGTTTTTCCTTAGCACGGCAGTTCTCATCCTTGGAAAAAGAGCCTTTAATCCATGTTGGCAAAATTTTCAGTGGAGTAATGTCTGTAGAACGGAGTAAAAAAATTGGATTTCAAGATCTCCGTGGAAAACGGTTTGAAGTCAGGGTAAATAATAAATTAAATATTAATCATTTAGTTCATTTTTGTGCCGATAATCGTGTAAAGTTTTTACCCTAAAATCTAGAGATTTTGTCCTCTGAGCATGTGACGCCGGATCGCAATTTTACATGGCTTTTTTTTTTCAAAACTACATTCCCTGAACTGAAAATCCCATGCCGACTCGAGATCAGTTTGATGTGACATTTATTAGCAGTAGCGTGGCGTGCTTTGCGATACATCGATTGATCTGTAATTTTAACACATGGAAAAGGATCGATTAATAGGGTGTTCGCAAAGAATACCTTCATAATCGATTCTATACCACGGATTCAAATGAGGAATTATCGATAATCGATCATTCACGCCACGCCACTGTTTATTAGCGACACCTTTGTATCATGAGGAAGAAACAACCCATTGGATTCTATGCGTTGATGCAGTGAAAGTTACTTTTTGATAGCAGTTTGATCCACTTACCTCTACAAGTCCCTGACAAATCCGAACTATGATTAGTATCGCTGGATGTAACCTAATTGCACCAGGTACGAATAGATTTAAAATCGAAGATATAACTACTGCTTTACCAAATATTCTGGAAAAAAACGAAGTACATTTTTAATCAAATTCCGGATATAACAAATGCCGAATGTAATCATTGTTTAAGATTTCATTTTGCTCTAATAAGAGTGAGAGAGTTTTGCTTATTGAAAAATCCAGTTGTAATATTTTAAAGTAAATATTGGAAGTAGGTAAATGTGTTGATCGTTCAAAACAACGTATGTATGATCGTATTTTTTCCCGCAAACAAAGAAAATATTCCTACAGACACATTAGACACCTACTTGAGCTATTTTTAAAGCAGCGGAATAAATAAAATCGAATGATTCCTTTCAGGATTTTTTTTTATTTGTAACGAAAGTCCAAGGCGGATACTGGAAACGTCGTCGGATAATCGCGATTGCATAAAACAAAATACACCCAAATATAAATGTGTGAATATTTGCATTGGGGAATCATTAAAAATTGCCACGTCTCTCTTAAAAATGGACGTATTTCTGCCTTACGGTACTGTGTGCATTATGACGTGAGCCCTGTCACGCATATATTCTTAGGGGTCCCAGAGCTCATGTCTTAAAGCACATAGTTCCGTTTGGCAGAAATACGTCCAAATTTGAATCTTGCCAGTGCTTCACGGTGACGCCGTGCAGCACTAGATACTCGAAGTATTACTTTTCAGTGGCTTGGCGTGCTTTGCGATATATCGATTGATCGGCTATTTGAACCTAAGGAAAAGTATCAATAAGTAAACAGGGTGTTCGCAGCTAACACCTTAATAATCGATTATTTACCACAGCTTCAAATGGGAAAATATCGATAGATTGCAAAGCACGCCACGCCACTATTACTTTTCATGTATTGGTACAGCCTTTGCCTCACTCGTTTTGCAAAAGTCATTTAAGAACGAAAAGTACGAGTTCATGGATTTTGGATTCCTCTTCTGGTTGCACTTACTTATTAGCTGGATACTTAGACGCTAAAAATCCACCAGGGACCTGGGTGATGAGGTATCCCCAGTAAAAAGAAGAATCTATGGCACTTTCTACTCCCACTGACCACTCTGGCCGAAAGACCTGCAAAGTCATGTAAAATATATCATTTCCAATGAAAAAATTAAACACGACACTCAATTCCTTAGCTCACGTAATTGATTTTTATTATTATTCTTCAACACATTTCAGAAACAAATGAATACAAGAGAGGAGCTCTTATACATATAAAACAGAGGCAAAGAGAAAAATCACATGACCAACATTACGAATTGTGAGCAGGATAAAATCAAAACATCGTTGAATCGTTTTGTGGCGACCAGCCACACGTTGCACCAATCAGCGCTCGCGCTTTTTGCGGATTAGCCGCCTCCGCCAATCCGCGATGAGCACGAGATGCTATAGCATGGTGCATAGCTGGGTCAAGTGCCGATTGGTGTATGGGGCGTGTGGCCTATCGCCGTAGTTCTAAAACTTTTACCTGCTCTAAAAACGCAGGGTGCATCGGCACTGGTAATTATACGTGGTAAAAGTTTTGTCATTATCAGAATTTTGAAACAAAGTTTAATGAAGCATTGATAAATATTTGTGAAAGTAATAGTTTTTGCCGTATCCTTTTGCATCTCATGATCACTGCATTATACTCTTTATTCTATTTAATACAGTTATGTCTCTTTGAAATATGAGTGTTCAAGTAAAATTGAACTTTGAGTCTGCTTACCTGAATTTTTGCTTGGATTTCCTCTTCCGTCCGGTTGCCCTACGGACAAACAAACAAACATGATATCTAAACATGTGTCAAAGTAATTTCTACGACGGATGAAGGAGCTGAGCGAAATGTTAACACAAGTTGAGACAAAGTTTAGTCTGGTTTCAGAATATAATATGTAATAAAATAAGGAAGAACATATTTTGAACACGAGGAATCTTTTTTTACGCTTCGATGTTTGGATTTTGTGTTAATTTGCGTTAAAGCCTACGAGTGAATTTTCTCTTATTTTAAATGTTTTTCCGTCGTATTAAAAGGATAACTATCCCGCATTTCCTTCTCCAATTCTCAAATGATTCCTCTACGGTATTCATCTTAAAATAACGATGCTCAGAAAAAATTAGACATACCCCTGACACTATTGGAGGAAAAAACACAAATTTTCATAAATATCATTCTGATTGTTTTTTTTATAATAACACTTGAAAAAAAAAGCCTTTCGAATGTCGAGTCCAGACTCTCAAAAAGTTCGACAAGATAAAATACTCTTGATTCAATCGAATTTTTGCTCGAATCAAAAAGAAATCCGCCTTTATTAAGAAGCTTGGCTCTCGATCCAAGCAAAAATCTGATCGAATCAAGAGTGCTTTCTCTTGCCTAATTTTTTAGAGTTTGCACTATTGATCCAAGAGTTTTTTCTTTCCAGTGAAGATTTTTCTGGTGACTTAGCCAGTATTACAGCCACGAGTCGCCGCGAGCACAATTATGGTTGCCCCTATTGGAGCAAGTGTGAAATCAACTGTATTTCTGGATAAGCGAACTAATTGGTTTTCTAGGTGAAAAAATACGCAGTCACAACGGATTCCTGAACGATTTAACACGTATTCCCCACCAGTGGCGTGGCGTGAATTGCGATACATCGATTGTTACGTCATTTAAACCTATGGCAAAGAATCGATTATTAAGGTGTTCGCTGCGAACACCCTGCCTATCGATCCTTTACCATAGGTTTAAATGACAGCTCAATCGATATCTCGCAAAGCACGCCACGCCACTGTTCCCCACACACTCAAGCAGACGGAATTTAGATCATGATTCGGCAACAGTGGGAGGCAGCCGAATAATTTCTGGTCGAATGAGCACCAATCGAGGAGCGAGTCACGAGTTTCCCCATTTTTCCGTTTTCGCGCGACGGAAATCACTACCATCATTCATCCACCCCCCCCCCCCTCCCTTCCANCCCCCCCCACTCCCTTCCAGAGTGTCCCTTCCTTGTAGCACCCGTATGACGTCACAATGTGCAAGTTCATTTACGAGATAAAAAACACAGCTTTCTGAATCGTCTGCCCCTTCCGCTGAGTGTATTTTGCTTCGTACGTACAGAGTAATTCAGTATTGAATTCGAAGATTTATTGGGATTGCTCTTTGGGCCGAGAGAACTTTTGTGATATAAGAAAAAGATCCAAGAGGACTGCTCCTAACGCTACAGCTGCCTTTCTCCACAGTTGGAGAAAATAAACCAAATTTTAGACGGAATGAGACAATTTATGGACCGAATTAGATGAAAATCCGTTTCCTTAGGATTCAATGGTTACTTTTAAGTGCATTGAAAAATGTGAGTTATTTAATCTTTAGATGCTCACGACTTTTTTTTATACACTAGCTCCCAAGTTGGGTAACATTTGCCCGTATTTATATACATTTATTTTGATAGTTTTTGAAATATTATCTGTAATATTGATATGTTTTTGAAGGTTGAAAGTTTAGAACAGAAAATTACGTAATAAAATCAGGCCAATCAAACTACAATCGGCTTAGCAGGCAGAGCACTGCTGCTTGTAGAGCACGTGGAGAGACGCGCGTTTACGACGGCGCAGAGATACAACTATTCGTGCTTATTGGATGTCCGGGTTGCGTCTGAAAAATTGAAGGCGCGATGGCGCGCGGCGTGAACTCTCAATGCTCTGCTCCAATGAGTTGTCGCACAGATTCGGGAGAAAAGTAGGAAAACGAGGCCTGATTACGTCTCAGCTGTGTTGACACTCGGTTGTTTTCTTTTTTCCAATTTGGTCGTATCATTCTATCATACTTTCAGACCTATAGCTATAAAGCTCATAAAAGCTCAATATATCGAAAGCCTCATACGACCCGCGAAGAACGTATTTTTGGCAAATCTCGGGTTAATATTACCTGGCTTGGGCATCTTAGGGTTAAGAAAAGAGAGCTTTTTGAGTAGGACTTTCTTTTAGAGTTTTATTTCTTTCTTTAGGTAGAAATATTCATGAATTTGTCGCTAAGCAGATATCCTCTTAAATCCAGAAAATATAATAAGCTCTGCCATCAAGCTAAAAATGAGCTTATATCAGGAAGAAAATATTCTCAGTCAAGAAGAAGGTCGTTTGTATGCAGCAGAAACCTGCTTGATTCATGTGATTTATTTCTTGATTCAAGTCCTTCTAGACAACAAATTCAAGAATATTTTTGTTTGAAACAAGTCGCTTTATCCGGTGTTCTTTTCATTCTAACTATATTTTGATTGGAGTTCTTGAGGGATCAAAAATATGAAGGACCGCAATACCTATAAGATTTTTACTCCCTTAAAATCCCATAAAAATAAATACGCACTCCCCCCCCCCCCCCNCCCCCCCCCCCCCCCCCAATCAGTAGTAAATGAATCACCTAATATTGGCGATCGATAACAACTTGCGTTTTGACTGAATGTTCGTTTCTTTTGTCAGTACATTTATAACTGTTTGTTTCTATTTTCTTTTTCACGACGTAAGCCGGTGCGCAGCGACGTAACATCCATGTCAGATTGTATTGTACTCGGATTATTATCGGAACAATCCTCCGAAAATGATAGTCAATATAGTACGTGGAGACTCAAAGTGAGGAGAGCCTATGAAGAAAGGGACGGGTGAAAATAAACGAAAACCAGGAATAAACCTTTTCAACGCGCGTTTTGAATGGAGCGCGGATGAAGATGATGAGAACTCACTTCAAATCCCGTTGCCAATTTCTTCAATATTTTCCCTTTTCCTCGTATTATTTGGATATTCAGTTTTCTGAGGCTACGAATAGTTATCAGGCTAGTTTCAGTCGGCGAGTTGATGCACTGTAGAAAATGGTGTCAATCGTATGAGTCGAGCGTTTGGTTTCCCTCATAGCGATCCGACTATAGTAGAGTCTAAAGTATCTGCGCTTCGATAATCCGCGGGTTTTTCGGTGACTTTGGTCCAAAAATGCTACAATGTAGGTGCCAACTAACTTTCGTAAAAAAAACCCTCCAGAACTGATGTTTGGCAAAATAATCTCTTTGAGGTAAAATTATTGTAAGACCACTTAGACAAACCGAATAGTTCGATTATATTGAACATCGATGTTCAGCCCAACGATTGAACTTCTTTCGCTCAACACCAAAGCTAAGGTGAAATAGTCCATATTTTTGGTACATCATTGGACGCTTTGATAGGGATCAATGACTTAAATTGTATCACTTGACCAGAGGTTTTTAAAAAAAAGGTTATTTTCTGAATCGAACAATTGTTCATCGCGCATCACATAAGTCATTGTTAATTGAACGCAGATGAGAGCTGAGCCCCGAAAGTTACTACCACACTGCAGGAAGTCTATGAGTTATTTTCACCCATTCATTCCTGGTTACGCTAATAATATTTTCCTCAAAAGCGCTACGTCACGGAGTGAGTATAAGCTGGACGAGTGGAAATAGACTGATCGTAAAGTCAACCTGGTTTGATGACGGACTGCGAGACCTTGAGATTTCGTCGAAAATATAGGTGATAGTGTGACCAGGGCCTATATTTACACCTTTTAGCAGAAAATAAGTATTGAAATCATTCATTAATCTGGCATACGTGAGTAGACAGCACGGAGTAGAATGTCTGACGCTGCGCAACTTTCAGCTATCCTCATGCGAGGCTGCTAAATTTTAGCTGGCTCCTTTGATTATCGCAAATGAATTGATCCTGAAATATGGTGTTTGAATGAGCGACTTGACAATGCTGTAAGCGACCGTGGCTGAAGCGCGGAAAAGCTCTCTTTTGAAAAGGGCCGGGATTCCCCGCCCCTTCCCTCCTACTACTGAGCCCACGACGAACGCATTTCCGGTTCTATACAATTTCCAGCTTTCCTCTCCCCCCACTCCACCCTGTTTCGCCGTTATTACAATCACCACGCTTGAGCATGATTGTAAGTCACATTTTAGTGTATGTATAGTTATATTTAGACCGGGTTTATCTGAGGATAACCAAGCATATAGACATGTTTCTAAAAGTGTGCCTCTTCCTGTGTGTCATGAAACTCAAAAATAAATTATTAAGATCTTCCTGGGAATTTTTTCGGGCATCGTAATAACCCGAATTGGTATTTAAGGGAAATGGGCAGCATTTGTCATTTGACTAAGGGAACTCTTTTGTCGAGAAAAATTTGAACGATTTTTGAGCGTACCATCGGTGCATCCTTGCGTATTTGTGGCTGATCAATTCGGAAATGATATCCAATTTTTTTTGGGCATTTGCCTGTTTTCTGGAAAACCCTCTTTTTCTCAGGAAATTCTTGGGATTCTGGAAAATCCTCACGCGACAGGGAAAACGGAAGGCTTCTTCTGACTTAGCCCAAACAAATTTCGTGTACTCGTCATCAAAGATACTTTTCTCATTTCAAAAATAATATTTCGTATGCTGAAGGCTGAAGTGCAGAGATATCAAATAATTTGAATATTTTTTATTCCTATTTTTTGAAAATACTTACTGTATTTTCATTACTGAGTGGTGGTCTGATAATCTAAAAACACCACTACACCTTGAAGATAGAGTACAAAGCATAAACTTGGAATTCAAATACGCTGACGAAGATCGGTGAGTTATATTAGGTAATATTTATTGAGAAAGTTTTAAATGATTCTCACCAATAGCTGGAGTTTGGCTATACTCATGTTGCACCGCATTCCAAATGTGATGATAAATCCTGTAAAAAAATAAAAAATACGGGATTTCAGGCCCATGAGATTATATCAATTGAAGTTATTCGTGGCTCAAAGAAATAAATAGATCTGAATCACACAGACTTCAGAATAACCCCAATCTAGGAAGAAGTAAGTACTTGAAGAATACGTGAGCTTTTATTTACATCAAAATGAAGATAATTAAAACCGGCTTTAAAACTCCGCCGTGTTGGAATAGAAACACAACTGAATGATTATGCATGATGTTGAAATTATGTATTACAAATTTTCTTATGTAGATTAATTTCCCAAACACTGTTGCGTCAGGAATACATCATATATTTTATATACACCTTTTTATTTCAATTAAAAGGTGCACCAATATGTGCATCTCAGCGCGAAAAAAGCTGAATGCGAATGTGAATATACATTAAGCTCGATACACACTTAGCAGCGATGCACCGCTACCGCTATTACTGCCCCACTGAATAGGAAGGCTGCGGGTCGATTATTGAAATTGATAGACAAGGCAATAGACAAAGAATACATAGAGAGTAAGGAGTGAAACGGGTGGCTCTTATAGACTAAGGGAGAAAATGATGGACTAACTGTCGGGTCTCTCGTGGGTTGCCTTTAGTTAGTCTATTACCTACCGCCTTTGTCCATTGCAATTACTCGCTTCCACCAATAGGATCCCTCCATATCCCTTTTGTTTTCTTTGTCTATGGCATTGTCTATCAATTTTAATAATCGACCCGCTGGAGGGCCTTTTTATTCCAGGGATGATTATTGAATATAATCTTATGTATTAGCCAATTTCCCCATGGTAATAAAACATTAACTTACCGAGGCAGGTAAGCACCGACATGGTGTATCGTTTTGTTAGACATGGGCATTCTGGTGCTATGTATTTGTCTATGTGTCGCAAAGGTGGCCGCTCTATTTCTGGTAGGTTTTCTGAGGCAAAATCCAGACCCGCTTCGTCTTTGTCGTAGCTGAAAAATACAATTAAGAAATATTGCATCCATTAATCGATGACAAGTACACTTCTGTTAGCGTCGTCATCCTATTTCAAATATTAAAAAAGTAACCGACAAAACTTCGAATTTTTTCGCATGAAATTATGAGCCGGAGCAGTTACATATAATTATGTTATATTATTTAGCGCTTTAGCACACATCGTAAGAATTTTGCAGACAACACATTTAAATTCTCAATTTAAAAGATCAAGATATCAGTCAATTTGAACTGAATATGTCCATAAAGCCTTTTTTCCTTTTTTGATACCAATTTTTCGCAAGAGTTCATTTTTTTGTCTAATTTTTGAATTGAGGTTCAACCGTACACTTAAATTCCATGTTATTTTTCAACTTGAAACGTTTATCGTGATTTACAATAATACTCTATCCGTGTTACTATTCAATCATTTAATTATTACTTTATTATAAGAGAAATTTACGCTAATTTAAGCAAAATTGATCAAAGTCTATAAAAATATTCTCAGCAATACTACGGATATTTTGAATTGGTTTCCACATTCAGAAACAGTAGAAATAAGTGATATTCATCTCAGTTTAAAACTTAGATGAGCGAAGTTATGCGCGAACCCTTAGGTACTTAGAGAGGAATTTGACGTCACTGATTAATCTACAATACCCATGCATTTTATGGGAATACATTTATCTGGAAGAGAAAGCTTGTGTGGTAGGAGGTCCAGTTTTCAGAAAAACAATTTAGATTGAACGTCCCTACTCTGATATCAAATTAAAATCAACCCTGATGCAAGCATCTATAGTTTTTTTTTTGCTGTAGTTTTGACAAGGCAGATAAATATTTTAAAAAACCAGGGAAAAATTTAATACAACTTACGGGACGGATCCAAATTCTTTCTCGTTGACTGGTCCGTCATATTCTTGATATTTGCGACTGAAACAAACAAATTAAAAATAAATCATACATAACAATTTAAAATAATTCAATTACTAGCGGCAATTCATAATATGTCATGATAGACTCGTTAAATTTGTGAGAAAGTGGAAATATTACGTATTTGCGGCAATGGCATATTTTACGATACACCCAAGACAGTGATTACAATCGAGGAGCTTGGAGGACAAGGCGCATTAGTGCAGTTTTTGCTACTTTGAGTAATATGTGTTTGAAGTCTCAAAATTACATCGGAATGAAAGTTCAAACTGACTTTTTTGCTGCCTAAAAATTGGGATATACGAGCGAATTTTTCACAAAGTAATTTAAACCAGTTTTACCTAGAATCATTCATATCTCAATTTTTTCAAAAACTGCACGTATGCATGCGCCCTGTCTTTTAGTCCCTTCAAACAAATTATTCTTACGATATGAGGAATTGTTATAGGGACAAAAAGGTAACTGGGGTTTTTTTTTTTAAAAAAAAAAAAAACTGTATACCATATGCATGAAAAAAGAAAGCGTTGCAGTTGTGTCAATTAAATTCAAATTCAACGTGTTTCCTCGCGTTTTTAATTTGCACAGGCAGAAAAGTATATCGTTGCAGCAACAGTCTTGTTGCGAGGGTGCTGTAATGAATAAAGCACCACTCTCAATGGGAATAGATGTAAGACGACCTTAGGAAGGAGATGAAAATCTTTTTTCAGCATCCAGATCGTCGGCGCCTGTATCTGTGAGGGTGGTGGCAATTACAAGAGGAGTCGAGAATGCTCCCGTCCCGTCAGCATTTTGGGGAGGTGTACCTCCCCCTCCTCCCCCTCCTCCCCCAGGTTGTCATGAGCAGGAGCAAGGAAGCAACTCAAGTGCCTCCAAGCTCAATTTCACCTGCTCCTTCCTCATTGAATACCAAAATGCGACGTTGCCGGAAACGATCAGAGAAACTCCAATTTCTTTGATTATCAGTGCGTGGCGTGCTTTGCGATATATTTATTGAACTGCCATTTAAAGCTATGGAAAAGGATCGATAAACAGGGTGTTCGCAATGAATACCTTGAGATCTTTTACCACAGCCTCAAATGGGGGAAATATTAGTAATCGATCATTCACACCTTGCCACTGTTAATTATGAATTCATTCATTGAAGTAGGTTATGTAACCAAGTTTATTATAAATTGGACCGCGTTAGGTAGAAATGAACCAAGCCACACCAGCTATTGCCAGATTTAACCGCGCAGTTTAATTAATTACAAGAAAACGGTTTTGCGGATTTTTGTGTGAATTCCAGCGAATTTTCTGCATGGTACGAAGCAAATTCTCTAAAATTTTCAAAGGATTCTGCACAAACGTTCTTTTGTAGAAAATGAAATTGCTCCGTTAAATTTGGCAATAGCTGATGTGGCTTAATTCATTTCTGCTCAACGCGGTCCGATTGGGTCGATCAACCAACCCCTCTGGGTTGATCTGACTGGAAAGGAAGTAACATGAAGTAACTCAAATTATTAACAACACGAGATTTTCTAACTGTGTACCAGAGCGATACAGAAGTGTGCAAACATTCTGGGACAAAAATGTCAAGCCACAGCGAAGTTATTTAATGTTTATATTCCGCAGTCCAGAGAAAGTTCCAATTACAGGTAGGTTTTTTCTCAAGTCTCACAATCCAGTCTTCTCTCTCATGAGCTCATTTCAAAAAATGGTTATAGGAAATTTCGTCAACGATTTTTTGTCCGCGCACCTGTTTTTTTCCAGTAGTTTACGTCCACGCGTTTTTTTGGAAGGGGAGTTTTCGTCCACTTACCACTTGAGACCCAAAGTTAATGTAAATACAAACGACAATTGCTTACGACGTTTTTGGATGAAAATATTCAATGTCTTGGAAAGGAAAGTCAATTACATCAATCAGAAACCCGCATTTGTTCACCCATTTTATTCTTGATTCAAAATAAAATCTTCTTGACGGCATATTCAAGAATGTTCCTTTCTCTCTCTTATCTAGACTTATTATGCAAGGAAAGTTCCTTACTCTTAAAAGATGCCTGTCATTCTTATTGTTGGTATGTTGGAGTGCCTCCAATTTCGTATGTTACTGTACACCACCTCCATTGTGGAATAGTAAAGCGCCGTGGCACGTGGCACGCTGCGGCGCGGCGCGGCAAACCAGCCAGCACGGAACGCGCATTGGCGCCTACAAACCTAAGGGATACCTCAAGCAGTGCGCAACGCGTGGAGTATCTGCTTAGGTTTGTAGGCGCCAGTGCGCGGCCAGCCAGCTAGCACGGAACGCGCATTGGCGCCTACAAACCTAAGGGATACCTCAAGCAGTGCGCAACGCGTGAAGTATCTGCTTAGGTTTGTAGGCGCCAGTGCGCGTTTCGTGCTGGCAGCACGTCCCATCACTCCGCTTAATGCTAGGGCCTATTATTTAAACTCGCGGAGTCAGCGTTTTTTAACTCATGATTTTTATATGTTTGCACACTCTGCATGAATTACTTTAATTTAAATTGATAAAAAAAATGTATATATGAAAGGAAAATTTAATGTGTGTTTTGTAAATATTAAGGTGTTTCCTTGTCGTATTTAATGATTTTCAAAGGACATTAATTTTTTCTTTTTTACGTTGTGCTTAAACTGTGCTGCAGCGTGGTGTGAACGCAACCAAACGCTCAAAATAGGACGTATTTGACTCTGAATGATCGATGTACAAATGGGCTAAAACCGAAGATAGCGTGCTTCTCGGTTTTTTCCCTCTTTTAGTCATTTGTGCATGGTTTATTTCGACACAACTACTGCTCATTGACTTTAATATCGATGCCATCGCTTGGAAAAGGTTTTACAAATATTTGCCACGCTTTTAAAAATGTAAATGTTTTTTAAATAAAGTAATATTTTCATTAAAAAAAAGTATTTATAAGGTTTACTTTTCACCGAAAATTTTAAGGACGGAAACGAAACCAAACATTCACCCATGACAATTTAAAAAGATGGATAAAAAGAAGGAAATAACATTTCATTTAAAAAATGAGTCACCACAACAACTCCTCCGTCTCTCTCAATTTTCTCATTTCATTATTGTCAATAAAATTTTACACACGGACTAAAATATGACACTTCGACCAAGTCACTGTTGCTTATTTCACGCATGGACGGAAACTACTGGACAAAACAGGTGTGCCAACATAAAATCATTGACGGAATGCCCTGAAACCCCAAAAATACGTCAAATCAAGCCGAAAAACTTCTGACTGACCCAAAAATTCCCACAAACTCTTCAAATTCAGTCACAATGGCGACTGTATAGCTTTCGGACCATCCTCTTAACACTGCTCGAGGTAAGAAATCAAGGGTTTCCTACAAGGATGGTTTGGGCACTGCGGGGGATCGCGACGCGTAATTGGACGTTAACAAACGGTGAGGAGTGTGAAGTGTGGGGAGAATACAAATGGGTGGCGGTGGGGGGGGGGGGGGGGGGGGGAGACCTGTTGATTCGGTCGGCGGCCGCGGGGCTTGGAGGGAAAACACGACTCTTGGGAAATGGGAATGAGAACGGTGGTGAGGTGGAGGTGGAAGCTTGAGGGTTGAGGGTGTGCAAGGCGCTAGGATCAGGAGTGATGGAGTAATAGAACCGTCACGCATACCGTTCCTGCGTGCGCCGCGTGTTGCAGTCTTTCCAGGCGTTGCCTCGTCAAATGGAAAACGGACGCATTTTATTCAACCTATCTACACTGCCGTGCTAAGAAAAAACGCCTTATGAACCTTCAGGCGTTGCCAAATTTCCTTCGATAAAACACGAATTTTCTGGTAAACTTATGAATATTTTTCTTCCAATTTTTCAGATAATTTTGCTCGCAATTTTACCTATTACGCCTGGAAATTTCAAGGAAAAATAATCATGACGTTCCGCGAAAATGAACATTTTATCGGCGGAAATTTGGCCACTCTCGAATGATCATACGGCGTTTTTCCTTAGCACGGCAGTATGGAAGAAAAACCTAACACCAGGCGTCTCCTCGTCGTTTTCCCCAAGAAAAAACGTTATTCCATTTCAATTTTTCCAAATTTTCCCTCGCAATTTCCCTCGCTTCCCTGGTTAAATGTCACATTAACCAGGAGAATTTGGGGACATTTCCAACTAAAAGTGATATTTTGCCACAATTAAGCACGGCAGATGACAGATATATTTTCCCATGGAAATTATTTCAGCAGAGGTTAGAATAAGCCTCGCAGGCCTCTGATCTGTTTCCTGCTATTGCGAGGAGATGCATCAGCGGTTTTAATTTACTAATTTTGATTCTGTCAATGTCATCAGTACCCCTTCTTTTTCTGTCAATGAGCTAAAATAGATAAGAAAAAGCAAGATATTGTGGTATTAAAAGTGAATTACATGTGATTTCATACCTCCATATCGGACAAAAACAGGAAAACTCCGCAAGCGGGTCGGTTTGGTCCAAAATCATTCGTCGTAAAATGTTTGAGAGATTTTTCAGAGTGAATCGAAATTGAAATAAAATATTGAAGTGATTCTTGTGAAAAATAACTTCACAGTAGTTCCATCTTTCGTCAATTGATCAATCAAACTATCCCTCTCAATACTTCAATTTACAAAATTAATTTGAACTTCTATTTTTACATAATTTTTTTCGGCTGTCAATTTTGGGCGGGAAATACGAAATATACAAAATTTGACGTACACGATTGGTTGAGCTTAAAGTCAAGAAACCAAGAACAGGAACCCTTTAAACAGAAAAATCGATAATCTAATCAATCAATTCGATCAAAAATAAAGGTTTTACCCGCGCAAACTCTATCGAAATATTACGCTATTTGATGGTAGATATGAGTACCAAAGACCAAGTTCAATTTTTTTTGTATAAATTTATTCATTATTTATCCGTTCTTAATTATTTTCCCCTCATAATTGCAGCGTCTAGCGAGAAGTCTTAAACCTGGCCACCGACTGAATTTTCCGATGAGACGCGTGACTTGACAGAGACGTACTTTCA